TGCCTCGAAACGTCCTCAGGAGGTTGCTGCAGCGCCGCCCGAACGTTCGGATCTCGTGGCGGAAGATTCGCACCCCACCAAGGACGCTGCAGCCAAGTATACGGCAGGCCAGGACGCTCCCAGGGAGGCATCGGTTGCACCCCAGGACGATTCGGACGTGTCTATGGGTGGCCCAGACCCATTCAAGAAGGTTTCGAGCGCTCCCTTCTTTGTTTCGGATGACAGCATGCTGTATTCGGACGTGCCAAAACCCGTGGACGACTCTTCGAATGCACCAGTCGACACTGCAAAAGGTCCTGAGGGTATCACCGGCGCTCCGTCGCCCAAGTCGAAGGCCCTGGTGGAGGCACCCTCATCATTCCTGAAGCCGAAAGACCTCTCAGCACACTCTGCACCGATGGCTTCGGTGGTGGCACCATCTTCGATCCAGGGAATTGAAGGCCGCGCAGAAGTGGGGTCAACACACATGAAGAAGTTCGGCAACATCGGACTAGGCACCTCATCACTCCGTCCGAAGCGGCCTCATTCGCCTGAGGGTCAAAGGGAAGCTAGTTCAAAGTTCCCGCGAAAGGGTTCTCGCCTTCCAAGCACCCAATTCCTGCGAAGGCTTGAAGAAAGCGGTGTTAAGCTTCCACCCAGATCCTTGACAGCCGAAGGCGTGGGGGGGGCAAGTGTCCTTTATCGAAAGCCCTACCTGCAACAAGCTGCTCCCCCGCATCTTGAAACTCACTCGCGCAAGGGCTCGACTTCCGCGACCGAACCCCTCTCCAAGCCGCTCCTGCACCCCGAATACCACTCATCCAAGGAGCCGACCTTGGTAGTTCCACCCGTCAAGCCACCGATGCACCCCGAATCTTCCTCGCGCAAAGGCTCAGCATCGGTGGCCGCGCCGCTCAATAAGCCGACCTGGCCATCGACTTGGGCATCTAAGGATGATGCGGATTCAGAGGACATATACATTCGGGGCCTTTCAGTCCTGAAGGAGCATCAGTCGAACAACAGTGCCCACGAGTCCAAAATGGGGTCCCTCCTCAACGAAGCTGCTGTCGAATTGGCAGAGAGGCGCCACGAACGCGACGAAGCCGTGGCTTGGGCGACCCAGGTCCAAGAATACAGTTCCCAACTAGCTGGTCAGAATCAATCTTTGCGCTCCAGCCTTGGCACGTACCACGAAAGTATGAAGCGGCTTCGACAAGAGCGCGATGCCGCCGTTTCGAAGGCCGCAGAGCACGAGAAGCAGCTCACGAATCTGGCTGCCGAACACGATAACTGCCTCCACAATTTGGCAGCGGAGTCGGCTTCTCACAACGAAACCCGTGCCAAACTTCAAGCCCTTCAGACCAAGTTCGCGGCCGTGACCGAAGAGTTCGACGGCAACACCTTCTTCATGGTGGACCTGCTGCATCAAATGCAGAATCAACCTGAGTCTGCAGGTGCCACTTCAGGTCCGCAGATCGAAGCTGCTGCGTTGCACGGCAATCAAGTCGCTACTCTCCAGACGCAATTGAACGAACTGCAAAGCACTTTGCAACAACGGGAGTCGCATCATAGCCGTCACTTAACTGCATTGACAAATTGCCTCCTCGAGTACCGACACGCCGTATGCGCGCGATTTCCCGAAGCACAACGTACGTGACCTACATATTAGCACTGACCGCAGATATTCCAGTGCCTCAGTTGACTATGGAGGAGGATGTCGAGCCCCCTCCACCCGAGGTCTTCATAGACTCGGAAGACGAAGAAGGAGCGGAACTACATCCTGAGATGGAGTTGGCCACGGCACCGCCTGAGGGCAAGATGGACTTGGACTGAGTGTATTTGTACTGTGATGACAACCCTTCTACATCGTATCAATCGAGGCCACTCTCTTACACGGGCGTGGAACACCTACGACAATCGAGGCCACTCTCTTACACGGACGTGAAACACCTACGATAATGACATGTTATGCTACATACCGAACATCTGAGGAATCATTTCTAAGTACCGTTCAATCACCTCCAGGTCCTCAGGATGGATGTTCATCGTCTCGGCCAGCTGCTTCCAGTGGGAGACACCCCGAATCAGGACTTCGGAGGCCAGCAACAAGGCAGCAATGCTGTGACGGATTCCACGACATTCGTCCATCGAAGCCGTTCCGGATTTGACGTTCATGGTCGTCCCCTCAGGCTTCACTCCTTGAAACATCATTATGGCTCCGGCCGTGGAAAGTGGACCACAGCTACTGGAGTCCGGTTGGGCAGGCCATGGAATATGCGACCGGTTTTGCTTTAGGTCAGTCAGTAGAGGTTCAATCTCGTAAACATACTTCAGTATTGCCAAATATGGTGAAATCCGGGGGTTGGAGTCGGAGTTGGTCCCTCTCGTGGCGGAATCGAGTGGTGAATGAGTCGAACA